CAAAAAACAAAAAAAAAAGAAATACACAAAGAATCAATAAAAAGGGTTTTTTTTCTTAGTTGAATTATTTTGATCACAGTGCTCCTACAACTCACATCCTTTACAGCAGAGCAGTGACAGTGCTCTCTCTACATGGAATCTCACAGTAACAGGAAGTGATGATTCCCCATGGCCAGCCACAAAATCACCTGGGACACACTAAAATACTCTAGGGAATTGTGTGCTAATCCTAACTGCCATAAGCTGTCACAAGAGCAGGTGTCCTGTGAGCACCAAGTCAAGCTCTTCTGAGCTGATTTGCATATTGAGACATTAGCCACAGTGCAGATTCCTCAAACCATCTTTAAAGGCAGCTTGCCAGTGCCAATGAATCAGCCTGTCTCTATTTCAGATATCAGAGATGGGGTCAGCTGCTCTCCCCCTCAAACCATCTTTAAAGGCAGCTTGCCAGTGCCAATGAAGCAGCCTGTCTCTATTTCAGATATCAGAGATGGGGTCAGCTGCTCTCCTGCTGTTGGTACTGCTGCTCTGGGTTCCAGGTGAGAGGATGCAGTGCTGGGAGTATCCATTGTGGCCACCATTGTTTTTTTATGCTTTGCTGTCATGATCATTGAAATTATGGCATTTCATTAGTTTTAATTTTCTCTTTTATTTTATAGCTCCTCAGAATGTAGCTCATGACTGCTATTACAGATTCCTCACCCATGATAGTTTTACACTGGTCTGCTTTCAGTATATCTGTGACACTAATAGGTGTTTATCATTCCAGGTTCCACCGGGGACATTGTGCTGACCCAGTCTCCAGCTACTTTGACCAGGTCTCTAGGGCAAAGTGCCACCATCTCCTGCAAGGCCAGCCAGAGTGTCTCTATAGGACCTATTAATTTTATGCACTGGTATCAACAGAAACCAGGACAGCCCCCCAGACTCCTCATCTATGGAGCATCCAACATAGAATCTGGGGTCCCAGCCAGGTTCAGTGGCAGTGGATCTGGAACAGACTTCACTCTCACCATTCACCCTGTGGAGGCTGATGATGCTGCAACCTATTTCTGTCAGCAGAGTAGGGAACGTCCTCCCACAGTGCTCCAGGACTAAACAAAAACCTCCTGGAGTTGCTGTGCACTGAGGCTCAGTCTCTGAACTATATATTTCCACAGTACATCTCAGCCCTAGAACTCTAGAAGTTTGTTTCCATAAAGGAGAAAGCTGTGAAACAATATATTTTAGACTATTATGTGTGTTTATCCCATTCTGTATGCTTTATAATTCAACAATTTGCTTGGTAAATAAAGACCTCTCTGGTCTAGTTCCAATGCATTTCTATAGTCAATCAATTAACTAGACAGCAATTTTAAACTTACAAAAAAAAAACCTTTTTCTGTATTATTCAAAATAATTTGAACATTGAAGGCTGTCAGTTGTCTTACAGACAAAAGCTGACATTCTGACCATAACGTGTTTTCACTTCCATGTGCTTGGGATTACAACAATCCCTTTTCAGTAGATCACAAATGTGAGGCTGCAGCAGCTGGTTTTACTGCCTTGATTCTCATCTGCATCTCTGTGTCCATCACTAACATGTCCAATCTCAGTCTTAGATTAATCATCTATGATTTTCTCCATGACCAATAGTCATGTTGTTGGCTACAGTGTCTTCCACATGTGTAGACACACTCTCTTTGTGCTTTCTTTCATTTATAATTCCATTTTCACTATCTTTTGGGGGCGGGGGGAGGAGAATTAAGTTCTCATTTTATCTCCAGAGCTAACCTAGAAATCACTATCTACTACCCACTGACCCTCAACTGGCAACCCGCCTGCCTCTTCCCCCTGACTGATGGATCACGACACCACCAGCTGCTCTCATTTTGTTGTTGTTGTTCTACCACTGAATGTACATGAACTCTCAGTGCACAGCCATGGTCATGGAAGACTCACTTTCCAGACACATCTTCTTCTACATAATGACTACACTGTGCTTCTGCATCCTCCCCAGGTGGAGCAGGAATGCTCAACAGAATTATCCTTGGCAACATTTCTCAGATGCACATCTCCTGAGGTTTTCAAGTTTACAATCCTGCATTAGTTTCCTACTGCTGCACAACAGCTAATGCAAACTGAGTGACTTGAGACGCCAGAACCTGTAATCTGGGCAGAGTATGTCTGGATCCTCTCCTCGGGCTCTCATAGGCTACAGTCGAGGAGTTGTCAGGGCTCTATTCTCATCTGGGTACTCAAAGCATCTCCTTCTCAGCTCAGTCAACATGTTTACACAGGCACTGTGTGGCTGGGTGTGCTGCACCTTTACTAACCGTGGACTAGAGGCTTCCCTAAGGTCCTGCAGGCACTGAGAGTTCCCTGACGTGTGGAATTTCAGTTATCACACCAGCAAGGGGATGCACAGCAGAGAGAAAACTGCTCCTCTTTAAAGGATTTGATCTCATTAAGTCAAGCATACCCAGGTAGGTCAATCTCTGCTTAAATGAACCCCGAATACTCAGAATTTGTATCTACAAAATCTCACAATAGAAGATAATCTCAAATCTGGTCACAAGCCAGTTGCAGTTGCTCCAGAGGCAGCATTATTATCTCTATGTCTCAGGAGTCACTTGGAGCAGAGAAAAATGGGCTCATCTAGACTTTTCCTGAACCTCCTGAAAATATAGTCACCTGTGGGTAACATTCTGGGATCAGTGGCTCCTTCATTCAAACTCCTTATGTCACTGCAGAAAAACAACCTATTTTATGTGTCTTTCGCAATGAGGAAGGTCAGGAAGTGCGCCCAGAGATGCTCTGAGTCATCACATCTATTCTCACTGATGTGTACCTGTGCCATGTCATGGGAGCAGTAGGTAGCAATTGAGCTTCAGAAGATTGGCCCACCAGGCATCAAAGCACTGATGGGTGAATCTTGGATAGGCAAGGCACTGAGGGCTTCGTCTCCAGAGTGTCTCTTGCTACCGCTGTGCCTTTACATATTTGCTGCTGCCATTTTTCTCTGGTATCAGCAATGGTGCGAATGGACATGGGAGAATCCACACTGCCTTTAATGATGTGTGATTATCTCATGGAAATATCACATTCTACTGGGCAGTTTTTCCTGTGGATTATTATGAAGATGATTTACTCTTAAACTGTACTGTTTAACTGGAGTAATGATTTTATACAATAATAGTGTTAGTTTAAATAAAATTTTCATGATTAACAGTTTTTAACAAATACAGTAAAGGATTATGCTAGAAATTAGCTTAGTGGGAAAATTAATATAAATAAAGGTAGGATAGTTTTGTCCCTGTCCCTGATAAAGCAATGGTTGCAAAGGGTAGAAAATAGCAACAAGGAAATGACATGCAGAGCTAGGACTTATGAGTTTCTCTTGAGGACCATATCGATTGTGGACCAAACTAGACTAGCTCAATCTCTTTTAATCTTAAAGTTGAGTGATGTGTTCACAGGTTTTTGGCATGCATCACAGCTAAAACAAAGCTTTAAACAATGATGTAAGGTTAGGTTAATGGCTTTGAGGTTGAAAATCTTGGAAAACAATTTAAAGTTTAGAAAGGTAAAGTTTAAATAGTTGAGTGAAGGACTCATTGAGGTCAGTGAACAAAAACAATGACAGAATGGCTATTGCTGGTTTTCCAGGATGGGTTGATAATCAAAAGTCGTGTTTTTTAACATTTTTTTTATTTTAGAAGCACTCTTATTTATATATCCTTCCCCCTATTATTCCCTTGCCCTCCCACCCTCCAATGTTCCCCACTGACCCCCCCCAACCTAGCCCTCACTCACTCCCCGGGCATAGTGAGGCCCTACACAGAGGATGACCAAACTCGGTCACATCATTTGAGGGAGTGCCCAGGACCTCCTTCCCATATCTGAGCTGCAATAGCATCCCTCCATAAGAAATGGTCTCGCGAAGTCCATTTGTGCTCCAGGGATAAACACTGGCTCCACTGTTAGAGGTCCCATAGACTACCTTGGCCTCCTAGCTGGCACCCACATTCAGAGGGATTGGTTCAGTCAAATGCTGGTTCCCGAACTTTATGACTAGGGTCTCTGTACTCTCACAGGTCAGGCCAAATGATTGTGTGGGTTTCTCCAGCACCATCTTTGCTCCGTTGCTCATTCCTCCACCCTCTATGTGACTGGATACAAGAAGTCTGACTCAGTGTTTAGCTGTGGGTGCCTGTTTCTGCTTTGATCAGCTACTGGGTGAAGGCTCTAGGAATGGTAACCAAGATAGTCATCAATCTCATTATGGGGGAAGGACATCAAAGGCAGACTCTCCACAGTACCTAGATTCTTAGTTGGGGTCATCCCTGTGGATCCCCTAACATTTCCCTTGTGCCAGACCTCTCTCCAAACCTATAATGGCTCCCTCTATCAAAGGTATCTCCTTTCTTGCCTTCCTCTATTCCTCCCCTGTCTCAGTCCTCCTGTTCTCCTCTGCCCTTCTCCCCATCTCCTCTGCCCTTCTCCCCATCTCCCCTGCCCACCTCCCTCCTCCCTCCCCCATGCTCCCAATTGCCTCATGGGTTCTTGTCCCCCTACTCTTCCTCGGGAGACCTTGCGTTCTTCTCTTGGGGTCCTCCTTGTTTCCTAGCTCCTCTAGCACGGTGAATTGTAGGCTGCAAATCCTTTGGTCTATGTCTAAAAACCATTTATGAGTGAGTAAATACCATGTTTGTCTTTTTGTGACTGGGTTGCCTCACTCAGAATGGTTTCATCTAGTTCCATCCATTTACCTGAGAATTTCAAGATTCCACTGCTTTTTTCTGCTGAGTAGTACTCCATTGTGTAAATGTATCACATTTTCTCTATCCATTCTTGAGTTGAGGGGCATCTAGGTTGATTCCAGGTTCTGGCTATTACACACAATGCTGCTATGAACATAGTTGAACATATGTCCCTGTTGTATGAATGTGCATTCTTTTGTATATGCCTAAAAGAGGAATTGTTGGATTGTGAGGTAGGCTGATACCCATTTTCCTGAGAAACCTCCATACTGATTTCCTAAGTGGTCGTACAGGTTTGCACTTCCACCAGAAGTGGAGGAGTGTTCCTCTTTCTCCACATCCTCTCCAGCATAAACTGTCATTGGTGTATTTGATTTTAGCCATTCTGGCCAGTGTAAGATGGTATCTCAGAATTATTTTGAGTTGCATTTCTATGAGAGCTAAGGATGTGGAACACTTTCTTATATGTCTTTCAGCCATTTTAGATTCCTCTATTGAGAATTATCTATTTAGTTCTGCACCCCACTTTTTAATTGGATTGTTTAGTGTTTTTGTGGCTAGCTTCTTGAGTTCTTTGTATATTTTGAAAATCAGCCCTCTGTCAGATGTGGGATTGATAAACATCTTTTCCCATTCTGTGAGCTACCATTTTTTGTCTTGCTAACTGTGTCCTTTGCCTTACAAAAGCTTCTCAGTTTCAGGAGGTCCAATTTATTTTGTCGATCTCAGTGTCTGTGCTACTAGTATGATGTTCAGGATGTAGTCTCCTGTACCAATTCGTTTGAGGGTAACACCTACCTTCTCTTCTAAGAGGTTCAGTGTGGCTGGATTTATGTTGAGGTCTTTGATCCATTTGGATTTAGGTTTTGTGCATAGCAATAGATACAGATTTATCTGTAATCTTTTACATGCCAGCATCCAGTTACATTAGCACCATTTGGTGAAGAGGCTTTCTTTTTTCCAAAGTTTTAGCTTCTTTGCCAAAACTCAGGTGTTCGAATGTATGTGGTTAAATATCAGGGTTTTCAACTCGATTCCATTGGTCTACCTGTCTACTTTTGTGCCCAATACCAAGCTGTTTGCAGGACTATGGCTTTATAATAGAGCTTGAAGTCAGGGATGGTGATGCCTCCAGAGGTTCCTTTATTGTACAGGGTTGGTTTGGCTATCCTGAGTTTTTTGATGAACCATATAAAGTTGAATATTATTCTTTCAAGGTCTGTGAAGAATTGTGTTGGGATTTTGATGGGGATTGCATTGAATCTGTAGATGATTTGTGGCAAGATTGCTATTTTTACTATGTTGATCTTACCTATCCAAG